ATAACTTTATTAGTTATTATTTTATTTTTTAATATACATATATAAACACAAATATATTTATTGTCCTTCACTGTTTTGATAAAATTAAAAAAAAAATAGTGAAAGGATTTCGTTGCATCCTTATGGAAAACAACCGTTTGTCAAACTTTTTGAAACTTTAGATTCTGTGATAGTTCACGACGTGTATATCAAAAAGTCTTAGTGGGTAGTAAGTCGTAAAAATTCAACTTTTTGAGATATGGATCCTTAAAGTTAAATTTTTCCGTAAGGACCTCCAAGGTACAATTATACCTAATATTATCTCTGCAAAAGTGTAGTACACTTCAACGTCATAGTGTACTTATGGGGAAAGTTGGTGGACTCAGAGATGTAATGAGACTCAACACAGAATTGATGGTTTATATGATATATGAAAACTAAAAGAGTAATTGTAGACGAATCTTTTCAACGCACAATTTCAAATTTCAAAATTAATTAATTAATAATGCGGGAATTTAATTGGTTGCTGTTGCTATGAATGGAAATCATGTATAGTTGGCTGCCTATGTTAAAACCGTATTTTCTTCACCCAAAAGAGTAGAAGACAATGGTATAAATAAAAAAGGGGGACTTATTGACTTATTACATGGACACTCCTTCTAATTTAACAAACCAAACTTTCTTCAGAGCACACGTAACATTATTAGATACAACATCCATAATATTAATATCATTACCCTTTCATTAAAGTCTCCAGCATCATTCACATTATTTTCAAATTCTAAAGGATGAACAAACTTTTCAAAATTATAAAGTTTAAGAAACAATTGAAAATACAACAAAACTTTAAAACTGGTTTATTTTGGCAATGTGTAATATTTTTTAACATTCATTTGTATAACCATTTGGTACTTGGTTCCTTTGTTTACGTATAAACATATAAGCAATTTATCGATCCCATGAATTATTATCAACTTAATTTTGTGAACTCGGTATGTATTATGTATTAAGTGTATTGTACCTACATACAGATATATGATAAGCTAACGAGTATTTCAACGGATTTAAAAAGGACTTCGGATTCCATACGACAAAATTTTTCTTTGTTTACTTCCGCCGATTTGAATAAATGATAAGAAGATAAGTATAGATCAGTGAATCTATATCATAAAATCAATTTATTGTTAATCTCCTACTTCTTCCTCTGATGAAGAATTGAAACGATGGCATCCGGATACGGCCGACCTTATGCTTGAGTGGGACGTTTTAAAACCAAACATCAAACATGGATCTGGTTGCGCTCAAAACGCGCTCTTCTACGAGCACCGAACAACGCATGTTACGCGGTTGTGCGCTAGTTTTTAATTGACCTTCGCGTTATGTTATAACTGTGACATTGTCAAGTTTTATTTTTGTAACCAAATAAGTACATAAACAACAAAAACTAAACCGTTTATGGATTAAATTTAAACATAGTAATAATGCGGTTGTCAAATGTAATTTTTGCGTGTATGTAGCGTGAATTAGTGTTTTTTAGCTTTTGGAAATATACGTATCGAGCATGTAAGTGTTGTTAGAAAATTTAATTCATTTAATAAAAACTAATTAAACTTCCACAAACTTTTATTATCTTCGTAAAGATTTCGCAAATNTCTTCGTAAAGCTTTCGCAAATTTTTATTATCTTCTTTATAAGTTTTTGAAAGTTTAATTAGTTTTTGTTTATATGGTATTAGATTTCTAATATTTAACACACTGTTTTTAAAATCATCATATAGGAGTAGTTAACTATTGTTTATTGTACGCAGTTTTTTTTATAAAGTTACCATTAATTAATTATTAATATATTTGACGTTGTGAAAACGTTATGATTTGTTGCATTTTTTTTCAAATTATGGAAAAACTAAGAAAAGACCCACTTAAAACCGCTTTGAGTTGCTAATTATTGATTCATGTGAATCTTATACTTATAGATTTATGCAAAATTTGAAAGTTTGAAGTTCAAATGGGAACCGTATTATCATCTTATCAGTGCGTTATGTTTTAATGATTCTTTAGATTCATAGATATATGTCGTCGTGGACTTTTTAGAGATCTTTTGAAGCTTTACCACTTTCCTGTAGAAAGCAGATTATGTTTGAAGATTGGTATCAATGAAAAGCCCTCCTTACTGGGATAATACACTCGGAAAATCCATTGGACAAAATGTTTCTGAAATCTAAATTATTTTTTCATTTGTAAAAGCACAGTGAAGGTTGTAGAAATTATTGCAAAAATAGGTCCATAGTTATTTGGCTATTATCGGAAAGTTTAATACATGTTTGACACATTTTTGAATATTTAATTCGTAATGAACATAAAGAATTAAGTGCCTACAAATAAGTCTCAAATTATTTATCAATTAGGCATTAACATTATTAATTGGCCTTTAGAAAAGTCAAGTCATGCTTATTTATAGAAATATTCGCGTTATGTATGTTTGCAACAGGCTACCTGTTGTAACAATTGTAAAGACATTTTAAATGTTAAGTAAATAACTTTAATCAACTTAAGTATTGTAATAATAATAAAAATCCTCAATTTTGATTTTCGTAATCGTAAATTAAACTTCAATTTTTATTTAAAATATTAATTTAGCGGTTCCAAAGATAGAATAAAAACGTAAAGATTCGTATTTCCTATATACATACATATAAAGTTTTCCTAGTTGGGTAATCATATTTTATTATTTTTTCAACTGTTTCAAGTTTTACTGCTACAATAAGTTGTAAAGTGGATTTCGCTTTCACGTATGTATAGTTAGTGAGTTCTCTTTTTTGAGATTTGATCTAACAATCGGTGGCATACTCTAAAGTGAATTAGGTGACGGTTTTTAATGGTGTAAGACCTGTTTTGTGTACAATGGGGTACTTCTAAAGCGGACAAAAGTCTTTGCAGCTGTGCTATATCTATCTATGTATGCATATACATATGTTTTTGTATAACGTTCAACTTTCACGTTTCTCTTGTTGAGTTGATAATGGTCAATTTTTTTTTAAAGTCAATCTCGTTAAGCTTATGAATAAATGAAAAGACGGGCTCTCGTTCTCATGTGTGATGATTAAACAATAGACGTTTAGATTCCGTTCTTATAAGTAAATTGCATATTTTTCATTATTTATTACAATCGTGACAATAAAGAATCGTTTTCGTTGGGCATTAGGTAAAAAAAAATGATTCCGAGAACGCCTGTTTTCTAATAGAGAGCAACCGCATATTAGTGACCGTTTGGGTAACGATTTTAAATTGCTAATTTGACATTGATATGTTGAAGACTGCTGGAAATTGGAAATCGTATACATTAATCTGAATAAATGCATCTAAAACGTTACTTTTAATTCTAGATAATGTTTAAGGAATGGTGGACGAACTGACGGGTTGAAATGTCAGAAACCTATTTATGTACGTTTAATTCATACCTATAGGTGAACTGCATCTTAACAACCTAATTATTATTTCCTTTCATAGGTTTAATATGAAAACACGATTAGCNGATTCATAATTTCCTGATTTTTAGTAAGTTATTTACAACTGAATCATCTGATTTTGGAGTTGAGTCATGAATTAGCAGTTGCCTTATGATTGATTCATTATCAACCACTGTGTATATTATTGTACAAAAAATATGTTTTTTCAGCTGTATGGTCTCATATCGTCGATGCTGTTATTTTGCACCGTAAAACACAAGCGAAGCTCGTACACTTACAAATCTTACGACATGTAAGCCAGTGATGATATCGTCAGTGATGATGATTACAGTGATCGGTGTGCGTCTGTGTTTGCGTTCGCATAAACTTTGTGCGTGCGGATTCGTTATTTTTGTGTAGATTTACTAACGCCAGTGTTTGTTTTTTTTCTTTATTTTTAGATGGAAAACAGCTAGCAAAAACATGTCAAAAAGTGGATATACATGTGTCCGCTACATATTCTGCTGGCTGAATGTTATTCTTTTGGTAAGTATTTTGATTAATTAATTATAAATACTATTCCTTGCGTTTATCCTAACTAATATTATAAATACCAATATGAATTTATTTTTTTGTTTGGAACTATTTCACGCCTTAACTATATAACCGATCATCATGAAATTTTCTACACACATTGTTAAGGAAACAGAAAAAGACATAGGGTACCTTTCATTCAGAAAAAAAAAACTGTTCCCTAGGGATAGAAAAATTAGCTTTATGTGGTCGCCTTTGACACGTATTTTGGACATCACCACGAGCGAAGCCGCGGGTAAAACCTATCATGAAATTTTGTACACATATTGCCAGGGGAAGAAAAGGTCAGAAAAATGAGCGAAAATGTTATTATTAATCATTTACGTCACTATAGCCGAATATGATTTCTTGAGAATAAGTTATAATAAACGATATGTCATTTTAAATATTCCTATAGAGAATTTAATATGAAAACCAAACTTAGCACTGCAATTACTTCATATTAAGCGGTTGGTCAATACAGGCGGAGTCATAATAAACGAATTCCACTGTACTTGAGTAGCGGTTCCATGACCATGCACATTCGTTCATTCAATTACTTTTCTGCCGAGGAAGAGGAAGTACAAATCGTCCGTTTTTTTATCGGAAGCAACACTCTTCTTAAGGATATGATTTTTACAATCAATTCAAAATTACTTCGTACTTGCGGTAATAGAAATATTACGATGTTAAATTAAAACGGTAATGACTTCCATAATCCGCAGCACATTAACAGCAAAAGGTTATCGATCGCAACAAAAATTAATAACTCTTTGGAGACAAAATTTATCACTGTATATGCAGTATCGCTCTCTTTACAGCAATTACATCCTCAACAACAGATAAAATTACATTAATAACGTAAAAGGTTATTTTTCAAAAGCATGACGTGACTGTTCGGAATAGTACGGCATTATAAACGAATGGTCACTTTAACCAGAATCATTCTAAGCCTTTATATTATAAACAGATTATTGTGGTTATATGCGGAGTCATTATAAGCGAATTTAATTTTATAGGTATATGTATATTAATTAAGGATTATCAAAAATGTATTTTTGTTTTTGTGACCTCTGTGACCTTATTTTTTTAAGCCGCCACTACAATGTAACATACATGAGGAAATAATGGATAATTTAGTACTCATTAAACAAAACAAAGTTTGAAATTCCTAAACTCTTATAAATTAAAACTGAATTTGCTTATTGTAATAATATTTATACACATTAAGCGTTTTGTGTAGAATGTGAATAAACAAATATCAGGAAAAATTTAATTTTGATTTGTGTATGTATAATCTACTTAAATACACGTCCAAACGATAAAAAAATAATTTTTGTGAGTTTGTTGATTAAAATCCTAGACGATCCATTATCATGTAAGTGCTAATTGCACATTCGAGAAGTGCTAACTGATTAGGTTAATATTAAACCAAATTTTAATAACAATTTGAGCCAATTAGTTGCTTCTATCTTGTCGTTCTTTCTAATTATACCAAAATAATTAGGAATACGTTTTGGTATCTAGGTCGAACGGAATTCTGCTTCATCTGGGTTGAAACATAAATTAACTTTCTTACAAGCTGTTTGAAAACATTTCCTTTGCCCATTTCCCTACATCGACTAAAAATAATTACCAGCTTTTCCAACAATTGCACACGTTAATTTGCCATATGTTTACATGTCTGTAAATTAGTTTATCATTTTGGTATATCTGGCTAATAGATAAGTAAAGGAATGCCTCCTAATTTCTCTTTTATTAATAACATGAACATAGAACATAATCCAATCCATCATTTTTTTTTGATAATGCGCTTTAATTGCATACCTAGAATTCATGATTTCTATTATCTATTATCACAAATTGTCTTCTATACTGCTTTGTACGTTATAGAAAACAATTAGAGCTCTGTAATATATGAATAAATTTTTACTAGGTAAACTCTAGAACAATCTATCATTTATCTCGTTCAAATAATGGTTTGCGAAACCATTTTTTTATCTAGTTCGTTGCGTAGATGTACCTAATGTTTAATCAGTAAAAATTGCACGCATCCTCTATCATTCGTAAGCGGAAATATTACGAACTTGTTTGCAAATAACTCATTTGCCGGATCATCAATTGAAAATACGAAATTATTGCCTTTTTGTATCTATAGTTTAAATTATGTCATTCTCTATCTGCAACTATGACTTCAACCTGTGACATAAACTATTACATAAGATATACGCATCTTATATTTATTTTTACGCTTAAACATAAAATATCATCTAACTTATGTACGCAATTCGAAAATGGTATTCATTTTATGATAAAATACGTAGACGTCAACAATATACTGTAGATAATATTATTCTTATTGTTTATATGTTATTTATGGTACTCAAATATTTAACGAGACACTAATTTTATCTTAGAATGTAGAATTGTTGTTTACAATAGTAATCATAAATTTTAATTAACTATAAAAGTGCGTTTACCTTATTTTTTTTTCTTTATTTTTAGATGGAAAACAGCTAGCAAAAACATGTCAAAAAGTGGATATACATGTGTCCGCTACATATTTTGCTGGCTGAATGTTATTCTTTTGGTAAGTATTTTGATTAATTAATTATAAATACTATTCCTTGCGTTTATCCTAACTAATATTATAAATACCAATATGAATTTATTTGTTTGTTTGGAACTATTTCACGCCTTAACTATATAACCGATCATCATGAAATTTTCTACACACATTGTTAAGGAAACAGAAAAAGACATAGGGTACCTTTCATTCAAAAAAAAAACTGTTCCCTAGGGATAGAAAAATTAGCTTTATGTGGTCGNAACTTTCTATTTTGGTTAGTTATTTAGTTTAATAGAGAGAAAAACTACAAGTTGTATATATATATCTATTAACAGAAAAAGAAAAAGAACGATGAATTGTAATATAAATATACATAAGGGTCAGAAAAATGAGCGAATATGTTTTTATTAATCATTTGGGTCACTACAGCCGGATATGATTTCTTATAAATCAATCATAATAAACGATATGTCATTTTAAACGGAGTCATTATATCCAAATTTTTCTATAGAGAATTTAATATGAAAACCAAACTTAGCACTGCAATTACTTCATATTAAGCGGTTGGTCAATACAGGCGGAGTCATAATAAACGAATTCCACTGTACTTGAGTAGCGGTTCCATGACCATGCACATTCGTTCATTCAATTACTTTTCTGCGGAGGAAGAGGAAGTACAAATCGTCCGTTTTTTTATCGGAAGCAACACTCTTCTTAAGGATATTATTTCTAAAGTATTGCGGTTCGCTTAATAAACCTTTTACCTAGGGAATGGTTAGTCACTTAATACTGATGCATGTATTCAACTAGAGTGTTGGTTTATTTACTGTTTCTTTTTAAAATAAAAAATTACTAGTCTAGTCATTGGAAGGTACTTAATGACTAATTAAATGTAGGATAAAACGTGTAGCACGAACGTTTGTGGTAATAAGGAAAAAGCGGAAAGAATTATTTGGTGTTTTCGTTTTCAAAAAATTGAATCTAGCCTTTATATCCGTATGTAATATTTGGTAAGAGAAAGGTGAATGACAATAACTAATTTATTAACGAAAGCTTGTTTCTTACATGTATAAACTTTTTACCAAAACAACTCATTCGATTGTGTGAACAAAAACATTAACAGTTATTCATATTATCAATTAGTTCAAATTGATAAATACGAATAAAACAGTTTATACGACTGGGGAAGTACCAAATATACCGGGGACAATAACAGTATTTCTATAAATGTACATATATTAGGGCTGTTCCCTGTAAACGACGACCTAGTGTAATTCATATGCTGAGGTTTTCGTTATACGATGTTAACATAATTGAGTGTACTGTATTATTAACTGTTTGTCAGTCAATGAGATAATTAAGAAAAAGTACCTTTTGTTTCCATAAACAAATTACTAATTAGGGATTTCCCTCATTCCAAAACTTGCTTGTTTTAATTTGACTTCTATGGTTATTATTATACTAAAAAAAAGAAAACTGTCAATTCCAGAAACAAACACAAAGAGAATTGCACCTCCTTAAATTAGAAATTAATGTGTATTGCTGTAGATAATTTAAGACCTACTTAGTTCGCCCATCTATTCTTACGTAATCTGCAATATCCGATGATTGCTAATATCCTTTAGCAATTTTATAAAAATAAAGACACCTTCGCATATCATCTGTAGGTATAAATTTGCCACCCACTACTACATACAAAATATTTCGAAAGTTGTAGCATGCTAGAAGTAATTTTTATAACATTCGTAAATTAAAACTAAAATGGGATAACTTATGCATATTAAACGGAGGAGCTGTTTGTGGACATATATAGTTATTTTGAGAAGAAAATGTTCTTTAAGTACGTAGAATGTTTTCGGTAAAGCTAATTAAAATTAGCTGTAGACGTTGTTCCTCTTAAGGGTAAAGAGTGACCTAAGAATGGGTTGTTGTAGCGGTAACTTTTATCGAAAGGCTATTTATAAGTCTTTGGATAACAAAGAGGTAATAAACCATCATATACGTTTCCGTTATAAATATTAACGTTAAGCTTATGTATGTATGTGGATAGAAATAGATTGAATCCGGAAGAGAGTAATTGAAAAGCATGCATACCTTAACATGGGTTTTGATTCAAATTTGGCGGTGGCCATTTTGGGCCTTGCAGGATACTTATAAAAAATATGCAAGGACAAAGGTGAATAAGATAATAAAATATAAAGTTTTATTATATATACGTACTTACCTATTGGTATTGACTGAACAGTATTGTATGACAATAAATAAAAGAAAACAAAAATATTGATATGCAAGGAACGAAAGAGTGAATTTAAATATAGGATACGAAAAATAAGAAGAAGTAGCTGATTTTTGGTATCTAGGAACTCTAATAATCCCGAAATAATCGAGCATAAAAGGTTATTTAGAGGCATATTGGAAGCAGAAACAGGTGTTAAAAGGGGTAGAGGCAGATCTGGATATAGATTAGATTACTGTTCACAAAAAGTTAAGGATGTGGGATGTTTTAGTATTAGGGAAAAAGATTAACTCAGGATAGGAAAGAGTAGATGCGTGTCCAGTCAGTCTTAGGACTGATGACCTTATGGTGATGATGATTTACCTACATATTCATAAATAATCGTATTCGTTGTTAACTTATAAGTATTGTTAAAAATTTATTTATTGCATTCTGTTACTATTTTGAGATATTACATAAGTAATCTTAATACTAGTTTTATTTTTATATGGGATAATATTTGCTTTTAAATTAAAAAGAAATGGCGGCATCTTTATTTAAATAATTTAAGAACATAACTTGAAATAAAGACTTAATCTACACGTTTTCAGAAAATAGATGGCAATGTTGTATTCCAAATTTATTTGCGTACATGTACCATTTAGTAGGAATGTCAAGTTCAGTATTGCGGAAGTTTTCTCTTCCATTTACATACGCATAAAACTGGAATGTTGCTAGTAAAATTGAATCTAGTTTACAACATCATGTTAAAGCTAACTTGCAGTATATCTACATGTTCGTAGAGGCTTAATTTAACTTAAATTACCTTCTGCATGTTAACTTAAATTACCTCCTGCTAGGAAGTAAAATGTAATACAATAAAAGGTACATGCCTAGTGTCCACGAGTATATACTTTTTCTTAATTATTCAATAGTACCTACCCATAGTTCCATAATAATTTCTGGTTTAGTACATTGAGAATTTTTGCGAAAGAATAGGCAGATTTTTCAATGACTACTGAAACTGATTCTTAACTGTTTGAAATTTTTCCAGTACTACATATAATCCTTTGTACTTACAGGTACTTTTTTCCTTTCAGTGACTGTCAAACAGGCTAATACAGTTAATATAGTACTTTGGCTAATACACCTAGATAAATACAGTTTCCTTCCACAAAACGTTGTTGGGAAAACGTTTCAATATAACGATTTTCTTTTGTATTTTCCAGATGACAGGATGCGGCATTTTGGGTGTCGGCATATGGCTGAGGGTGGCATACGAAGGGTATGCTACCCTACTGCCCCAGTATGCAATGCTGAGCGCTGACATTTTAGCAATTGTTGTGGGAATAACAGCCTGTATTCTGTCCTTTTGCGCTTGTTGCGGATCTTGGATGCAAAGCAGGTTTATGTTGATTACGGTAAGTCTTGTGTATGTCAAAGCCAATCTTTACAATTTGGCATTGCAGGATGTAGTTAAGCAATTAAAAAAACAGCGGTTAAATAAACGCTTAGCCGAATATTGTCAAATATTGTATTTGGCATTAGGGTAGCTAACTGTTGTTTAAATAATTGCAGTTAACTTGTGGCATTTGTAGCATTAATTAGTTTCTTTGAGTAGTACACCGTTTTGACAGTGGTTTACATTGGGGGTGGTGCATAATTTCAGAATTACTACGTCATTTATTAGGTGTTAGTGTTAAAGACATTTCACTATATTTTTTTATTGTACATTGTCCAAGAAAACAGCGATGAAATTCATTTAGGGGGCGGGGGATAATTTGTCACTAGGTTCGCTTGTTCACATTACAGAATATGCAATCCAATTAGAAAATAAAGTAACAATATAACTATTAATTTATTCGTACAAACCATTAAATCAGTTTTGACCTATTCGATTGAAGTTGTTTTGATTTAACTGCCCACTGCTTTGTTTGTATTGTATGATTATCTTGACTGCCTAGACGTATTAGAAAATGCCAGATTTTCAGATTACGTGTTGCATATATATTATATAAATACCTACGGGTGTGTTTAATTTTATTAATCCTCTTTTCCACGATGTGTCACAAAAAAATTATGAACTATGTAGAAAGTTTTTTATGGTTTTTAATATGCAGGCGCTACACCATTGTTAGTTTTATGTATACACGGAAGTTCAACTATTTATTATACTTACATACCTACTTGCATTCTTATATAAGTATTAGATATATGTATTTACTTTTCAAAAACTACAAGTTTATGTTTTTTATTGTTATAGCCCCGCACATTCTCAGAAGAAACCGATAACTTATAGGTTCTTATTAATTAGTATTTTTCTAATATTACAAACCGACGTTGTTTCAAACTCTTTTCCTTTGCATAAAAGTCACGGTAGATCTGCCATTTTAAAAATGCCAGTCCATACAACTATGGAACTATTTAAAAATAATAAAAATTAGCGACGATCGTTATTAACTCTTTACGTAACTTTGCATATTTTGTAAAAAGCAATAGCTGTCTGGAAAAGTCATAAACTTTTTATGACGAGAAAAGCAACAAAAACTAAAATTGATACTACGGCGGATCAAACGCGAGAGACAGGCAGTTTCTTAGTTTTAATAACGTAGATAAAATAATAATAGTACATAAAACTGTATAACATTATGGTCATCTGTTTCTAATTCGTTTTTTTTTGCCAGTTTTACAACGACTATTATTATAATAGTTAATTTTCTAGAATATTATGGACCTGTTTGATTATAATTTTCATGTTTCAACTTATCCAGCTATGGTTGTAATACGATTTTTACAATCAATTCAAAATTACTTCGTACTTGCGGTAATAGAAATATTACGATGTTAAATTAAAACGGTAATGACTTCCATAATCCGCAGCACATTAACAGCAAAAGGTTATCGATCGCAACAAAAATTAATAACTCTTTGGAGACAAAATTTATCACTGTATATGCAGTATCGCTCTCTTTACAGCAATTACATCCTCAACAACAGATAAAATTACATTAATAACTTAGAAGGTTATTTTTGAAAAGCATGACGTGACTGTTCGGAATAGTACGGCATTATAAACGAATGGTCACTTTAACCAGAATCATTCTAAGCCTTTATATTATAAAGAGATTATTGTGGTTATATGCGGAGTCATTATAAGCGAATTTNTTTAAAAAAAAGTTACTTAAAAATTCGACTTCGTATATTTATGGTCTCTTCTTGTAAATATCTTCACTAATTTCACACGTAGTGTGTCAGTGGATCAGGAAGTTGTTTCTAATTAGTGCTTATTTATCTCTTTTTTGTGCAAATGGTCCTTAATTAGCTTAGAAACGACTTTAAAAAAGTAGTAGTCTGTAGTTCTGGTTACTATACAATTTTTGGTTTAGAAAAGTATCGTACATACCTTTATTGATTTAGTTACTCTTTTGGTTTACATTTTCCAAAATATGCTTTGGTTTACGTTTTTTTGCATGTATACCTATTAATAGCCGGCAGGTGTGATAATATTCCCAGAAATGGCCTGGACAAATAAGAACTTTGTTTGAGCAGCTTGTTATACCTACCAGAATAGATTCCTTGCTGGCGAACGTGCTAAATGGCGTACAAACATTTGAATTTATTTCCTAATATACACCTGTAGTTTACTGTGGGAATTGCACAAGGAAGAATTCTTCTAATTATTACCCATGCAGCTAAATAAAACATTTTTCGATACGATAACTGTTGATTCCTTTTAAATCATTATTTGAATAAATGAATGAAAAAATATCACCCATACAACAAATAACTTTTACAGTAATGTAGAAGATGTAACTGGAAAATGTAACTACCTAAATTTAATGTTTTACAATATTTGTCAAATTAAATTCTTTAAAATCTACTTACTGCATAAGCAGAAAGATAAAGAATTCGTTAAAATTAGAAATCAGTACACCTTACAACTAGTCAACTTTTTCAATCAATTAATCTCAACCTTTACTCTGGCCTTTATGAAAGTGGTTTTCGTGTTGATTTTCTACAAAGGAAAAAAGTCGTGTGTACAATAAATCAATAAATTAATTAGTTACCTGACGACAAACATAAAGCACATTGAATAACATGTAGAGACGTGAATAATATAGTAGACGACCTTGGGAAACATCACATCAATTTGTAGTGCGAACTTCCGCGGTAGATATACCTAAAACGGAATCGCAAAGACTTGCAAGACTATTTGCATATTCTTTTTTCAATATGCTCATGCGATATAAATACTTAACTGATGATTCTGAAAAAGATTAACATACGAAAAAATGTAAATTTTCGAAAATATATATGTGTGTAAATTATAGACCTGGTAAATACTAGAAGAAAACCTGCTATCTTTGAGATTTAGATTGCGTCAAATTATTTATTAGGTAATATGGAGTTCAAAGTGGCCAGAAAATCGAAAATCACCGACTTGAACAACCTTATATATTTTTTGTGACTATAGAGTCGTAGATGAATGGATCCAAAAGTATTTGATCGATTCCAATAGTAAAGTACCTATAGGGAAAAATTTTTTGTTTGTTTTGTCCAGATTAGTAAGGTTGCATGCAGATTAATGAGCAAACTAGTCGGTGGTGACTTTAAACTTGAAGTTGGTTGTGTCCTTCAGAGTTATTAGAAGTCGACTTGTAAAATTTAAGTTTTGATCGCGACTTCAAAAAGAGCGAAAATTCTATATCCGAACTAATTGCTGGCCATCTTTTGGTATATCACACGTCTCTTTGGTAAATGTTAACATTATAAATGCAGTGTGTACCATTATAATTTTAATTTTAGTTTCATTGTTGTGGCGTTCAAAATTATGAGGATTGGTACATGATAGATGCTTGGCCTACAAAGAAATGGGTTCCGGATTCATGTTGTGTTCCTGCTGTTAAGTTCGGGGTAGCAGATGAATGCGGACGTTCAGGTATTCCTGACTACTGGTTCCCAAAAGGATGTTCTGATCAAGTGAAGATGTGGTTTATTCAAAGATTACATATCGTTGGAGTTGTAGGCCTTGCAGTTGCTTTCATTCAGGTATGTTCTTCTATTGGCTATTAAAAGGTTTCGAACTTAAATATTAGTATGGTAAGTATGACTTTCATTCCAAGAAATACAACATTTTCTGTAGTATTCGATATTCCTTTAAGGCAATACTTTGATTCGAAAGTTACTTTAAAGGTTTTCTATATTTAACTTTGTGTATACTGCTACGGATTTGACTGACTGGTGATTTACAATAGTGATTGATCTTAACAGATCATTAGCCTCAGAAAACTGCGGGATATTTTTAGGACTGTAAAAATTGAGTGTTATTGATTGTAAATTTTCGGTTATAAAATAGCGCATATACGGGTAATTAACTACACAAAATCACTATAAACATTTCATATTTGTTATTTATTTGGTAGTTAGCTGGCGCCAAAATGTTTTTAAATTTTTCTTCGATTTTTTACTTTTTTGTATGTTGGATTCCGTATATAGTTTACATAAAATATTACTTGGAGTAATAATTATTCCATGCCGCATTGCAATATAATTAGTTTAATTTTTATGATTAATTAATCACCTTGTTAAGATTAGCTCAGGAAAATAAAGAGTGGAGGTGCTTGTCCAACCAGTCTAGGACTGATGACGTTATAATGATGATTATTTTACCTATTTAATTTTTAAACTTTCGAAAGTATCAGATGCACACCCATTGCAGCCAATTCCCAAAAGGTTTTACCCTTAAGGCTGAAGTCAAAAACCCCTAAAGTCTTCACCATTCTTTGGGAAAATCCCCAAAAAGAATAAGTTGTAATTTCTTTAAAAAAGGCATTTCCTTTACTAAAAAAGTCGGAACTATTACTGTTCAATGTTCACCCAGTCTCTTACAGAGAGACTGTATGAATAAAACTGAAAAACTGAGAGACTCAAGTCTCTCGTAGAAAGACTNAGAGACTGAATGAATAAAACTGAAAAATTGAGAGACTCGAGTCTCTCGTAGAAAGACTGGGATCTCTGAAATATGTTGAACTTAGAAAATTTTAACCATGTCTATCGAGACACCACTTATTGAGAGATTCGAGTCTCTCTTTCAGAGATTCGAGTTTCTCGTTCAGAGACTGGATACGAAATGAGGATCTCTCTAAGAGCGACTCGAGTCTCTCGTTCAGAGACGCTAAACAGTTTTTTGACAGTTTTTCTCAGCGACACCAGAGAGACTCGATGAGAGACGGAGACTCGAGTCTCGCTTTCAGAGACTTTGAGAGACTGAACATTTTTATCTCGGGCAGTTTCAGTTGTGACTTCTGACAGCTCTGTTAAATCTTCGCCCTTCTTGGGCTTTTTTTGTATAGGAGTGGTTACAACCCGTCTTGCTGAGAGCAGCTTTCTAGAAATGTCTTAATTCTATGTAACGAGGTTGTGTAGATACAAACAAACAAATACAAAAACCAAAAAGTCTTTAAAAATACTCCTAAAAGAACCTATTCCACTAATTTACCCCCTAAATTTGGTGGGAAGTCCCAAATTACCAACACTAAACACAAATAACTGATCAAACCTCATAAGTTACTGCATTAATACTTACTGTACTTCATGATTCATAAGTTTCTGATTTTTAGTAAGTTATTTACAACTGAATCATCTGATTTTGGAGTTGAGTCATGAATTAGCAGTTGCCTTATGATTGATTCATTATCAACCACTGTGTATATTATTGTACAAAAAATATGTTTTTTCAGCTGTATGGTCTCATATCGTCGATGCTGTTATTTTGCACCGTAAAACACAAGCGAAGCTCGTACACTTACAAATCTTACGACATGTAAGCCAGTGATGATATCGTCAGTGATGATGATTACAGTGATCGGTGTGCGTGTGTGTTTGCGTTCGCATAAACTTTGTGCGTGCGGATTCGTTATTTTTGTGTAGATTTACTAACGCCAGTGTTTGCTTTTGTTGACCTAAAAATACTACTAGCATTCGTTGCCATAATAGTAAACCCGAGTGGTAAATATAGCTTTAATTGGTGTCTATGTATGAGAAATTGAGCAAAAGGGTAATTCCTTCTGATCTTCTTTAATGGAGAAGAAATCATTTATTTACCAACGTTTTTTGCTATTAAATTTAATGTCTAAGGACCTTGCGTGACTAAGAGGTTTGTAAATTCTAATTTTAACATTTTGTAATAACCAAAATGTTCGACTAAAAACACCAAGAAGAGGAAAACTATACAAAACAATTACATGTACATAGAGAGTTGAATATGAATATGGTTATACAATAAACTATCGTATTTTGAACTAATAAAGTATGGTAATTTAGTAGCTAATTTTCCTAATAGATGAGATTTAATGACGCGGGTCCTTCTCCCTATTTCTGGCATGAAAATAGTCCCATTTCCCAGTGATGAAATGTAACACATCAGTTAGCAACAATAGAGAACCAGTTATTAAAATTTTTATCATTCATAGAAGTTAACTGGAAAATCCTGTATGTTTTACAATAATTACAAGAACAGTGACTAGAATGATCATCCTTTCTACAATAAATGTGAAGCCTCAGCTCTTAGTACATTTGAACTATTGTTTTCCGTCTTTTTCAGATTTTAAGAGTAAGTTAAAAAGCTGTTCCGTATGTTTTTGATGAAAAAATGATTGTACTGCAAGTGACTCCGTAGTCCTTGCAATAATATCCCCCCCATCCTTATCCAATGGACTTTTTATTTATTATTAGAACAAAAGGTCTTTTAAGTTCCTTAATTACGCTTCTAACTTTATACATATAATTAATACCTTTTGAATTATGTATAGGTACCAATTAAAAACATAAGGTACAAAATGTTATTAAAGGTGAATTTTATTTGATATATCAAGTACAACACATGGTTTTTATTTACGTTTTGTTTTCATAGCTTTTTGTAGTTGTGTTTTATTGATCGTTTGGATGTTAATTTATTTTTCATGAAACTTGTAGTAAGTGAATATTTTTGTAATAAATATAAGAACGTTCTTTTATTTAATCTTATTTTTTTTAACATAAAATTGTTATTTAGGGACAGTGCACCTAAATAATATGCTACTTGTGAAAATTATTATCACTGCAACTTTAACTGAATTTGTGGTGCTTATTTTTAATTATTAATGCATTTAATATACTGGTGTTGATAGTCCTTGGTCAGTCAGCTACGCCATTGGTAAAGTTTTGTGCCTGCTCATCGGGTCCTTTGGTATGTATTAAACGTGTTTATCTGATTTAATTGATACTTATATTATTTTGATATTGTTAGTTGTTGTTTAAATAAAGGATAATTAAATGTAACTACTATATTTATCACAAGAAATACTATTTACAAAAACGCTACAGATATGTTCGTATAAAGAATATTTTTATACAGGTATAAAAATTCAATGGCATCCGAAATTTAACTAAAAAAGTTTCGCTTTGTCATCATAAANCTAATAACTTTTACTTTTTGATGACATGATAAAAAGTCCATATTTTTCCTTTCTCCAAACTTTCTGGAATTATCTATTTGGTTGTTTTCTGTTGATACATCAATTTATTATAGGTCTTCTTGATCTAAACAATAAGGTGATCGACCATTTGTTTACATTAATAGGCGATTCACATTGCATTATCAATCACAGACGATTCCGGTTGTAGAAGAAGCCAAATAGAGTGAATCAATCAAAGTTCAATGTAATTAAAAATTTTTGATACAACGCTGAAGCGATTTTTATTGTGCATAGGAATTTTAAATGGGCGTGAATAATCGTATCGTTTCAGTAGAATGATTTTCGAATAGGACAGTCATTAACGTTGCCTCACTCTTACAGTGAAAGTTGGAAAATAACCTAACTATGAATTAACTATTTCAAAATATATGTAACAATGTTGTACATCTGCCTTGGCACAAGGTTAATACTTGCTCAGAAGACTTGCCATTAATATTTATTGAAAACTGTTACAAACATTTACACAAATATGACCACTATGTATATATATCATTCTGAAACTTATTGGAGACATAAGATCACATTTTTTTTATAAGAGAAAGGAATTTAAGTGCTTTTATTGTGTAATATTAATAATTATAACACATGTATGAAGAGTGAACACAACAACAAAAAAATTACCTTGCTGTAGATAAATAATTAAAATGGTGCAAATATAACAATTCAGAGCGTAATTATTAAATCTATTTAATGTATTTTAATTGTAAGAAAAACGCAACTCACCGGTTTTTGCCGAATAAGATCTACAGCAAGAGTTGGTAACTGGGCCAAAGCTGCTTTTGCACTTCCAAAATCACTTCTGTCAGTGATATTTCCTGAAGGATGACAGTAAGCTTTTGCAACAAGAACAGCACAGATTACAAAAGCCTTTGAAAACATTTTGACCTAAAACAAGAATAATACATATAGGAGAAGCTTCAATCAAAAGTAGTTGTACTGTTAATAAGGCACGTAGTAAGAATTAATGAACACCATGAGGATGCTTATAAACTATATTTATTTATTTTCCCCCTTCTTGTACGTATTTTGGTAGAATATAAGGAATATGGTTGTGCTACTGTTTGCAGAGAGAAATTTGTGATTTCCTTAAAGTAAATAAATGGTTAAACAAGTTCTATTTTCACCGCATATTTTTAAATAAGTACAGATAACTTTCTCCGAACAAAGTGATATTCCGTAAAATTGTGGATATAGAATCGTATTTGTGGGACCAAATACACGGTGTTTATAGAAAGGGACAGCAGCAGAAAGAAATTACTAAATTTTTTCAAAGGAACAAGAAGCATTGAACTCACTGCAGTAATATTTCTTTAAAATTAATACTGTAATATAATTCTTTTAATATGAGAATTAATATTGGAGTCTTGTAATACTGCTTCTGTTTGAAGAGATATAAATCGAAAAAAATCTCAAAAAAATTTTAAATAGTTATTGATTAAAGTGAAATTAGAAAACAGAAAAATGCTATATATAGTTCAGATACAGTAAATTTTCTTCCTTAAAGCTTTTGGTGTACAATATATAAGTACTTTAACTAATAAATAACTTTGAGTTACCTGTTTAAAATATCAGTTATACAGTTGGTTGGTACGCGTGCACTGTTTTGAAAACAAAAGCCGAATGATGGTGCCAATAAAATAATAATCGATAGTAAATGATACAGATTTATTGTTTGTGGGTATATATATATGTAAGGCGACAGAAAATATTTTTTCCACCACAGTAATTGTTAGTGGGAGAAGCGAAAATGACATGCTTTGTAAAAGCAGAAACGTAATTAATCATAAAAATGAGTCTCATTTAGGTGGGATATTTTGCGCACCTTTCCTGCGGGTGTGTCATATCCAGGAAGAAAGAATTGCAATCTTGTTCAAACATTTTTATAAGAAAATATTTAATAAGTAAAGCAAATTTTCACGTATTGTTATTATTCACTATTTTACTATGCCGATAAATAGACTAGGAACGATGGAAACACTGGAAGATTTACTTTAGTCAAGCCGGCAACTCCTTTTATCTTAACATATCATTTTTAAGAGTGTATTGTTGTTGAGGAGTATTTCCGATTTCATTATTTCATTATTAATTCAGTAGGTTTCACAAAATATTTCACTTTGACTTTAATTCAAAAAATAACAAATATTAGTTGTTAACTTAACAAATACTTCAAGAAACTCTAAAACAGTTGAACGAAACGTCGAAAATTGGTTAAAAAATTGATTTATTTACCTGATTAATTAATTAATAGGGAGAAAATGGAATTAAATTGTTTCCTACGTTATTTGAAACAATTATGATTAGTTAAGAACAAAATTAGGGGAAAATTACTTTAATGTTTGGTTTCTAGCAAAATTACGATGCATTTTTCATACTCGTTAATCTCATTGTGGTTATTTGAATTTGGAACGAACAAAATTTTCATATAACTTCTTTAAATGTTATTAAAAGAGTACATAAACGTAGTGAGTAATTAAAATTAATGTGAGTTCTTGTATTCTCTCTTGTTTTCTAATGAAATGCTAGGTAGGTACTTCGCATTTGGATAAACTTTATTTTGGACTTCATCCAACACACGAATGCATTTAGAAAGCTGCAATATTTGGTAATAGTGTACAAGAATCGAATGCTAAGCACATTTTAACGAAAGTTCTTACGACTTCTAATGCATAATTAAGAAGGAATTAATTACTTTCCCCAAGTGCAATCGGAAATGCTTGCAAAGTTGATTGATATACTGCAACTGCAACTGATAGGCTAATATCTGGTAATCCTTTAGTAATAAAGATTAATATTATAAATGTCAAACTGTATGCCCAACATAAGTAGGTAGCAAGAATATTAAAATATCATACTAAAATTTGCTGCTACTAAAATATCGTGTATTTAATAAACCTAAATTAAAAAAAAATAAAATCACAAAAATATTTATAAAAATTATATTTGGTAGGTACTCATATTTTTTCTGCTTAA